TGTCTAGATCTTTGTTCCTCTGTTAAAAGTCTGATCATTTAAGATTCTTTTACTTTTTCCACCATTGTATAATTCTTCACATTTCCATGCATTAAGCTTCCATCACCAATCTGTCAATAGGAAAGTACTTGCATGTTATGGCACCATTCACCAAAGGCAATTCCAGAGTAGTTCAAACCCATGAACTATTTTCAATTGTAGATAGTTTAACGTAGGCAAAATATAAATCAAATTGCAACACAATGAAGTCTCATAAAATAATGAGAATTTATTTACTTTTTCATAAAACGTGAGCATCCCTCGCAAGGAAATCAGTATTTGTTGCCCATTCCTAATTGCCCTTAAGAGTAATGGTTTGCCAGGCTGTTTCAGAGAGCAGTTCAGAATCAACCATGTTGTTGCGGATCTGGAGTCACATATCCTGATGGAGGTAAGGGTAGCAAGTGTTCTAATGACATTAGTGAACTAAGTGGGTTTTTAATGACAACAGACAATGGTTCCATGATCACTGTCATCGAACCTAGTTTTTAAATTTCAGATTTTATCAATTGATTTTAAATTCCAGCTGATACCCTGGTGGGATTTTAATCCATGAGCTCAGAGAATTGGTTGGGGTCTCTAAATTGAGTCCAGTGATATTACCACTACACCACCATCTTTCTTTACTGATTTTGAATGGAGGGCAAGAATTGGCCAGAATATTGAGAGAACATATTTGATCTTCTTAAAATAGGATCCTGGTAGCTTTTAGGTTAAGATTTAGATGTTTGCCAAACTGACAATCAGGGCACCATAATTGCTGAATGATGTAAACTATATGCCAGGGACAGGGGTGAACCTTGAACAATCTCCCAGGGATTAATGGCATTCAAGGACACTACTAAAATATGAGGAATAGTGCCAGTGACAGTACTGTGACAGTAGCTCTGTCAAAGAATATCTTTTAACAGCAGCAACTAATCACTACACAACATCCACCTGTGATAAAGCAACTAAAATATTTCAGTATTCTTGCACTTCCTTCAATGGGGGTTTCTTTACCAACACCTTAGTGAAGCCTTGTTTCAGTTTTTTTTTAAAAACAGGACTTAGTAAGGATAAATATTCCTGCAGGGTTTTCTACTGACTTTTGACATTGCCACAGATTTTGTGGAGAGAGAGTCTGGAACCATGTTCACTGTTAAATGGAATTCCTAAGGATCTTAATCTCATTCTGATTAAATTTTTCACCTAATCAAGTGCATCAATTTGCCACATTTCTTTGGCTAACTCACCACATGCTGTGAGTGCAGTGGACAACAAATGTTTTCAGCATACCTGAATGGGTAGATCGGGACTTTGGTTTAACATCTAGTTATAAAAACTGCACATCAACATCTCCAACAGTGCAAAAATTCTGCAGTAGAGCGCTGAAGGATCAGCTTCATTATTTACTCATGTCTCTATAGAGGGGCTTGAAGCCACACCTTCTTTATTAGAGAGAAGAGTGCTACCTACCACTGAGCCAAAGCTGAAACTCCAAGCCCCCTACGCCACACACCAGGCCTTGTTATCACATAGTCTGCCATTACATATAGTTAGCCACTAACGGTCTCAATTAACAGCTATTCACACTCCTAACCAGATCGTTATCCACTCCTTCATCTGTCCAACTGTTCTTCTCCCACTTTGGGCTCTATCCCTACCTATCATTTACTCCTGATCCCCTCCCCTCACCCTACCTTCTGCATTTAAACCAACATTTTCATAGCTACTGTCAGTTCTGACGAAGGGTCATCGGACCTGAAATGTTAACTCTGATTTCTCTTCACAGATGCTGCCAGACCAGCTGTGCTTTTCCAGCAACTTCTATTTTTGTTTCAGAAACTCCACAGACTTGTTTCATAACAACATGACTTTTTCCTCAGTTCTTCATGCTCACTAAATTTGCTAATTTAGTATTACCAGGAAAGCTAGAACTCATTCTTATTTATGTCATTTATATAAATAACGAGAAATAATTTGCATCATCCCAACAGTTCCTTCCTCGCTGATTTTTTTCTCTTATTATGGGTGTGTACCAATTGGACTTTTCTTTTAAAATGAGGCTGAAAAATGGCAATGTAATTTCCATCTGAACATATTTTCCAGTAGTGATTACTCCACAACCTTGACAACTGTCACCTCTCAGTTTAAAATTGAACATTCTTAAGAGTCACTGGACCCAAAACTTTAACTCTGCTTTCTCTCCACAGATGCTGCCAGACTTGCTCAGTGCTTTTTCTAGCAATTTATGTTTTTGTTCCTGATTTCCAGCAACCACAGTTCTTTGGCTTTTTTGTTTAAGATTGATAGGAAGCTTGATAGATGACAGATTTCAAGGAAAGTAAGTATTTCTTAAACACATTGAGACCTATTGAGATATAAACCTGACTTTTCAAATCAGGCAAAAACAGTTTCTAATTAGACTTTCACATTTGCCAACTATACAGTTCTGAAGAAGGGTCACTGGACCAGAAACATTAACTGTTTTCTCTCCACAAATACCAGCAGACCTGTTGAGATTTTCCAGAAATTTCTGCTTTTGTTCCTATCAATCTTTCTCCCTTACCAAGCCCTACAAAGTTTAGGATTTTGTAGCAAAATATAAATACTTCTTCCTTCTGTCTAATTTTATGCGGTGACATGAAGTAAGACTGCGTAGAAACTCTGGAAGGTATACACTGTTATCATTTTCGCTTATACAATCAACACTGATGTATTCTTTTAATTCACCCAACAGCTTTCCAAAATCTTTGCATGAAAATCAAGTGAATCTTAATCTTTAACAGAAAGAACAGTACAAAGGCTAGAATAAAAAGTTAAATCAAATAACTGTCTTTACTATCTTGCCACACTTGACCGATTTCATCGTCTCATCCACTTCTCCTATTCTGCATGGAAAAAAAAACCAATCAGCCAGGGTTACTTCAAAACCAATCTCATTGTGACTATAAAATCCCATACAAACATTTGTCGCTTGGATTTCACCATAACCCAATGAGCACACAGAAGTTCTGTTCACTTGTATGGTAAAAGCCAATTATAATTATAGATTTTGACCTTCCAAACTTAAGTTAAGTCTGGAGAAACTGTGATGAAGGATGGATTGTTACAACTCATTCACTGATTATAAATTATGCCCAATACTTATAAAATGACGTAACACTTTAACACTATAAAAGCATTTTAGTTTCTGCACAATATAAGCAAGAATGCATGGATTCTAGTATGGTAAATTGATCTGCAGGTAGTCTACCATTTACCAATTATAGCCTGACTATCATGAATCACAGTTTCCCAACCGTTCACAGTCTCATGGATGTAATGTGCTCTGGTCCTCCATGTGACACATTTGTACTACAGTTTCACAATGGGTCACTATTTGGTCCACCAAATCAACCCAGCGATCAATCAAAATAGTCAGACAGGAAAAAGCTGAATATTTTTAATTATAGGTACTTGGTTTGCTGCTGTGTCTGACATGAGGAGGTTGACTCGAATTGTTCCAGCCAGGTGAGAAATCAGTAATAGGAGTTTCTTGATAATTTTATATACAGTACAATTCTGGAGTTATAGAGTCATACAGCATGGAAACAGACCCTTCAGTCCAACTTGTCCATGCCGACCAAGTTACCTAAACTAAACTAGCTCCATTTGCCTGCATTTGGCCCATATCCCTGTCCAAATGTCTTTTAAATGTTGTAACTGTATCTGCATCTACCATGTCCTCTGGCAGTTCATTCCACATACAAACCAGCCTCAGTGTGAAAATGTTGCCCCTTAGGTCCCTTTTAAATATTTCTCCTCTCACCTCAAAAAATATGCCCTCTAGTTTTGAACTTTCCCACCCTTGGGAAAAGACCTTTGCTATTCACCTTATCAATGCCCCTCATGATTTTATAAACCTCTATAAGGTCACCCCTTAGCGTCCTACACTCCAGTGGAAAAAGTCCCAGTCTATACAGCCTCTCCTCATAACACAAAACTTCCAGTCCCATTAATATTCATGTAAATCTTCTCTGCACCCTTTGCAATTTAATAATATCCTTCCTATAGCAGGGCGACCAGAACTGTATACAGTACTCCAAAAGTGGCCTCACCAATGTCCTGTACAACTGCAACATGATGACCCAACTACCATACTCAATGGTCTGAGCAATAAAGGCAAGCGTGCCAAATGCCTTCTTTACCACCCTGTCTACCTGTGATGCAACTTTCAAAGAACTATGTACCTGAACCCCTCAGTCTCTCTGTTTGACAACACTTTCCAGGGACCTACCATTAACTGTATGAGTCCTGTCCTTGTTCATCTTACCTAACTAGAAAAGGATGGGAAGTAAAACAAGCAGGCTGGCAGTAAGTTAGTCTGCTGCCACTATTCCTGTGGAACCTATAACAATGAAGCACACTGCTGTTATTTCTTTGTTGGAATCTGAATTTCTGCTCACTGCAAAAGTCTTGTATGAGGTCACATTGCACTGTTCACTGACCAGGCTATATGAGTGAAATAAATATCAACATTTAGAGCGACTTAAAAAAGATGAAATGAAGGAATAAAAAAAATTGTAAAGTACCATGCACAATCTTCAGATGATTCAAAGAACTAGTGTCATAAGTATGAAAAAAGCGATCTTCTAACATTAGGATCAAAATATAGTTATTTGGGCATCTGCATACAAGACATCTAACCAGGAGTGTTTTTCTCCCCACTACTGCTACATCCTTTCTTAAGCAAATTTAATTTTTAAAACCAACTAATTGCATGGAGTGGTAAATAAAAAAAAGTACCAAAATATTTGTCAAGATACATCATAGAAACAGGTTACACGTTCATCTATCTAATAAACCAAACTCATTTCAAATCTGAGTTTATTGACTTGTAAAATATATATACAGAGAACAGAGGTTATGATGCAATCTGGAATATTTTACAATCATTGAACAACACTGATACTGTTTCAACTTCCTCAGCATTTTACCTGATCTGCAAAAGTTTGATATTCTTCTGGCAAAATCCAAGAACGAGGATAAAACTTGTATTCTTCAGGAAATAATTCCTGCATTGTGCGAACTGCCCGACTAAAATTAATCTTGCGCACTAGTTCCGTCATGCCTAAAAGATAAAGGAAACTGCAATTAGAAAAGTCTTTAAGATGTCAAAACATGACTAACTTCAATAGATTAACTTGATATAAAATACATCAATCCCTATTATGCTATAAACAAAACAAAATGGTTTATCCAAAATAGTTGGTTAAAAAACAAATATGCATCTAGCGTTTACACTGCTACATAAAGTGAGCTCAGTATGCAAAAACAATGAGCTATTGAATATGATACTTTAGATCTAAAAATATCAAGACTAACTCTTGCATGGAACCACACTAAGGCTCAGCTTCTGCATCTTTGTTCTGTTTGCAACTTATTTTATAATTTAATTTTGTTTAACTTGCAGTCACTCCCTAATATTACTGCTCCTTGCTGACTCCATAACTGGTCTATTAGTTCAACAGTTATTTCAGCTACGTCATTTTCCAGGGAGAAATTCACTTTCCTGAGAAGAAGTCCATTTCTCTACCACTCCTAGGTCATCTAGAGAGCTACAATTTTATCATCTCTCTATCCCACAACTGATTCTGTATACCCCCCGCAACTTTATTTCCAGATAAATAACTCCCCAATTGTGATACAACCATACCCTTGGCAAGGCTCCCCAATTTGCTATGGTTCTAGTTGGGATTCCCCAAACTGTTAAGTTTCCAGGTGAGGAAGGATGAACTGGTTGCCTTTCATTATTCACCCACTCCACTGTTTGGTTGTAATAATGTTAATTTAAAAATGATCCCTTTTCTTGTAGATACCTTTCTTCCAGACCCAAATTAACCTATGATTTAAAAGGAGCCAACTGAACCAGGCTTTCTTGAATTAACAAAGAGTGAGTCAAACAATAATGAAACTAAAGAAGAATTAGTAACAATACACACGTACATACATACATCCAAAAAGAAAGAAGTTTAAAAAAAGTTTACAGGCCAGTTGCTTTGATGCCCAGTCCCCATTAAAACCATAACCTCCTCTCTGCTCTTTTAAAACTCTCTCTCATACTACTTCCAGCCTTACCTCCAACAACTGCAAGGGCCTCACGGACTTTACTGTCACAAAGATCAAGCAGTCTCTGCCACCTCACTCATTTTCTCGATCACCAAGATAAACTTCCTTTAAAGGTTTGCCTGTGTCAGCAACATATTCTAGTTTCTCTACTATCTCTCCTCAACCTCTCTTTCTGACAATAGAAAGGTGAACTAGATTGTTTGAAACATTGGTGTCATATCTGACTTGGAGATGAGCTCCTAACCAATAATTCACACCATTATCAGGACAGTCCATTTATACTACACTAAAATATTGTCCACTTTACCATCTACTGCTGAAACGCTTTTGTTACTTTTAGGCATGGCCATTCCAATGTACTCTTATTTGGTCCCTCATTTCCTGCAACATCACTTTCTTGCTCTTGTATTCTAACTCTATTTAATAAATCCAAGGACACTGAATGTCTTGTTAACTCCTCTCTCCACGTTCCTCTTGTCAAACTGCATCACTTCACACCTTTCTGCATTGAACCTCATCTGCTATCTGCCCACTCCATCATTTTGTCCATGACTTAAAATTCCACACAGTCCTTCTCACAATTTACATTTTTCTTAAGTTTTGTGTCATTTGCAAACTTTGAAATTGTCTCCTGCATACCAAGATCCAGATCATTAATATATTTTAGAAACAAAAGCCCCAAAACCAACCCGAGGAACTCTACTACAAACCTTCCTCCAGCCCGAAAAATATCAATTGGCCATTACTGTCTGTTTCCTACCACTCATCCAATTTTGTATCCATTTTGCTATTGTCCCTTTTATACCATAACCTATAACTTTTCTCCTA